TATTTGCTGACAATGTATTTCAGTGTTGCTTGATGATTACCTTTTTTTTTATCATGGGAGGTCCCGCCTGCGGTTTTTACCTTGGGACCTCCCAGAGAATCTGTACCCATGCACTTTTCCATGTTCACGCTTGATGAATAAAATTCAATTCAAAAATACACTTCAACCAGTAACGTTTCAGGAGAAGTTTTCCGGGCCATGCGATATGGTACGTATACACACACAACAAAAACCGATAAGTCTATATAGAGTCCCATTGTAAAGTGGCGCTTTCTTCTGACAATCGTAACTCAGGGACACGTGTTTGTACACCGCCCTTCCTTTATCCAACCACTCTTTTTTTTTTGTTCTTTTAAGTGCGAAGCATTTCTTCGCGTAGTTAAAACGTACACTTCTAGTACACTCTAGCGTAGTGCACGCACTTTTAACGTGGATATATCTACGTATCTCTCTGTCTGTCAGTGAATCTATCTATCTAGCTGCCTCCGTCTGGGGTCTCTCGTGATCACTTCCTTAACTTCGGGTAAACCAAAATTATTACGGGCGGGTAAAATGGCTTGATGAATACGGCTCGCTGATCATGATATGAATAATGCGAATATTCCACCGCGTACGTTGTAAAAACGCTTTCCGTGAGACACGTGTGCCACAAACCAGTGTACCAGGACAAAGTAAAAATAAAAAAAAATATGCACGAGCGCTACGTGTCCTCAATCAGCGCAGTATACTGTTCTGAGCCGCCCATACATAGCACGTCAAAATAATTTTTTTTTCAACCCGCCAAGCTTCGCAATTAACAAAAAATGCTTAATGAACATTTTAAATATTGACACTAGATAAAAATATTCAATACAAAACTTGCAGCGCGCAGCCAGAGATTATAAAATTTTCGCTCTGTGCACCTATTGTGGACCCAATGAAGTTGTTTCACACACTCTGCGGTAAGATAACTGTGCTGCTTAATTTTCTTCCAGGCTTTGCTTAAAGTGAGCGAAATTAAAACACTCACACACACACACACACACACACACACACACACACACACACACACACACACACACACACACACACACACACACACCACACACATATATATATATATATATATCGTGATTATCGCCTAACGCGCGGCGTTCTTAGTTCCCTCACATTTAGGCTCAAGAAACTATCAAAGGCTGCTCTCAAATAAAGGTCGTTTGAACAGACTATCGGTGAATACGATAGTACCGATTAAAAAAAAAACGACGAAAAAGCGGCCACCACGTGCGAATGTGATACGGGACTGCAGGCAACAATCGACGCAGCCCCGACATTTTTTTTGTATTTTCGGGCTAAGAATAAACATGTCCTCCTCTCTCCCTCCATCACGTTTATCGTTAGCCCGAAAAGGCTAACGATAACTCGTGGACGTGTCCAGGGTTTCCCTTCAGGGGAGAGGCGAATGCTAGCCGCAGAGCCTTCCCTTCCCTATTACGTCAATGCATGAAGCAGGCTTTCCAATCCCCCCCCCCTCCCCCACCACCACCACCACCCTTGTACACGCATTTAGCCTCACCTCAACGCATTAAAAAATTCCATGAAAGATCCAATTGAGTAAAGGTACATGGGTCAGGATTCACACTCCTATAGATGTGACTATGGGGGGGGGGGGGGGACGCGCTTTCCCCGTGCTCACCCAGCTGTTTAGCATATGACTAAGCTAGGGCACACTCGGCAGACTGTACAAGAATAAGACATATCGACACTCCATCTCAATGCAATGCTGTCAGTACTCTACAAGAACTACATGAGCCAATCATACACAGGAGCAAGCTCACACATTGCACACTGCTGACTTAGCTATTCAAGACCCTTTATTGCCAACTTGCAGCAAGAGCAAAGTTGAAAAAAAAACAAAAACAAAAAAACACAGGTCACTGACCAATGTCAAACAAAACAATGACGTTTCGGGACCCGTACGGGTCCCTTGTTCACAATCAATTCAGCAAGAGCAAACTAGTGGCCGGCAATGAGGCAAGTCTTTCTCCCGAATTTAATTTAAAACTGGTTGCCTTAATACGAACGTCAATTTTAATCTGTAACAACAATTGCTTTGCCCAAAGTAATAATAAACAGCACACTGGAGGACTGAATGCTGCACAAACAGATTAGGGAAAATGTGGAATTCACTGTAATAGAAGGCTGTCACTGTCCGCAAAAATAGGTCACCACACTGTTATTTTTGCAGTCGAGGGCTATGGCCAAAGGTCTATTGCATGTGACTTGTTTCTTCATCACCCATACCATTGTGTTCTAAAGAAGAAAAAAAAATCAATGCTCTTAGCGGTCAATGTTTCATGCACTCCATATGTACTGGACAATGTAGCCGGGTTAGGCAACAAGTCGTGGTACTAAACTGTGTACACTGTGAAACATCGCCTCTACATTATTAGTGAGAACGAACGGCCTATTAGTTCTAATTATTATTGTGTCTAACGAATAAAAATGAACACTTAAATTTTCTCTTTCTTCAACCACGTCTGTATAAAATTGAGCTTGAGTGATCTAATTATTCAATAGTAATACGTCAGACTTTTATCAAATGAACTGTGAAGAAACCAGAAAAAATGTGTTTTGTTTAACAGGAGTTTCATTTACTGAGATTAAAAAAGGTGCATAAACCTGGAGGATTTCAAATAGGGTTCGACTTAAATAAATTGAGGATGACGCAGCAAGCGCTGGAAAGGAAAATCATAGGTGTAACCCCAAGGGACAGAGTCTATCAGGGACAAACGGGTGTTAAGGACATCATAGTCGAAATCAAGAAGAACAAATGGTCACGGGAAGGGCACGAATCACAAAGGCACAATAGCTGCTGGTCATTAATGGTTGGATTACAGGAGAAGGCAAGTGGGTGAGGGGGAGACAGAAAGTTAGGTGGACAGATGAGACAAGGAAGTTTGCAGGTATACAGCGGCAGCAGCAAACACAGGACACGGGGAAGCCTTTGGCGAAACATGGGGGAAGCCTTTGTCCTGCAGGGGGGGAAATCAGACTGATGATGATGAAAAAAAAGGTAAAGAAGCCTAATTGTGCTGGGGGCAGTTGTTCCACTTAAGCAGCAATTCCACTTAACAGATTTGAAATCTGTTAATCATAAATGGAAATCTGAGATTTCCATTTACGGAGAGTCTACTGTATACCTAGTGCATGTTATTGACAGCAAGTGTGTACGTGGCACTTATGCTTATACAACCTGTACATATACACCTGTATTTAAACCTGTCAGAAATAGTTGCATAATGCTATTCTAGTTATGAATGTGTTGACAATGTGGCTTTTTTACAATTGATTCCTTTGAGCACTTTATGGAAATCGGAGTGTTTAGACTCTGTCAGTTGTAGAAAGAAATGGTTAGTTGAGCGCTTGGCAGGTGCCAAGCCAAAGTCAATTTACTGCTAGAAGCTGCCAGAAATTATGACAATTATCCCCGACATTTTCACAAGCCTTGTAATAACCTACAGGTAGTAACATTTAAAAAGGTGAACCAAAAATCTAAGGACGCTCAACAAATTTGAAAGTGTGTTCTGCAAAAGCCTGTTGCTATTTGACCATGCCATGTTCTTCTTTTTCTTGTCTTTGTTTTTACGCTCTTAGCAATCATGCAATCGCTGAGAGTGTAAGGGGGAGAGGCCACAAATGAGGTGGTGCAACTGTTGCTATGCTCCACTATGCCATCACGTGAGGGTGAGGGAGAGAGGTCACTGCTGGCATCATTCTAGGGCACGGATGGAGGGACAGACAGACGTACGCAAGTATGGTTGGGTATGAGGCAATTGACAGGCATTTAACAAGCATCAGTTATAGTAGAGGAAAATTAAGGCAAAAAGAAAAATCAATTGAGCAGTGCTCCAAAAGGGCAAATCGAGTGTCAGTTGGTTCTTCATACTCAGACCAATGCTGTGACACGTCAGGAGCGTGTATTACATGGTGGAACAACTATAAATTTTACTTTGAAGCCTTCAAAGTTCCCTTGTAACATACATAAAAATGAACTTGCATCACTTTTTCAGTTCCGATAAGCAGGACCCTGTTTTTTGCTAAGGTGAAGAGTGACTTCAAAAATAAGTCAATGAATTTTCGTTACACACTACCCTTCTGAAACAAACACCACTGAAAGCTAGCACACCCATGGTAGGCAGTTACATTCTGGTCAAATAAAATACACGTACCAGGTCACTTAAAGTCATCAAAGGAATTTTGAACAAAAAAAAGAGCACCTTTGTTTGTTTTTTTTTTTTTTGGAGGGGGGGGGGTACAATCATTCTCCTCTCAGTGATGCTGAAAGTTGCAGCTATTGACCTAGTACACCTACATTTTTTTGAGTTGTAAAGAACAATATGCACCACACACTTCTTTCAGTTTATTTTAAAGAATACTCAGCGTTTAGCAAATTAGCCAAAGGGTCAAAGTAGAACGAGGTTGTTCTGGCTAGATTCTTGCATAGATGGATCTCGTGTAAAATTCGCAATGCTTATGTTTCCATTTCCTCTTTTAACTCCAAGCTCAGGTGCAGAGGCCTGAGTGGAACACCATCACTAGTCAGCGAAAGGGAAGTTGTTCACGAATGTTCAGTGGTGTACGAGCTCGCAACACCAGGCATATGTCAAGTGCTATTCGGCTGGAAGCACTGTCTCGAGAGAGAAAGCTTAAAAAAAATACAGGTGCCCTTGCTACCAAGCATTTATTAAATAAAGTTATGGCTAGACTGAAGTTGGTTGCCTTGTTTAGTGCAAAAGTTGCAGGCTTGCAGCAGCATTTAACTAAGAAATCACCTTGACACTATTGAGAGCGGTTCGAATCCTCTGAAGCCCCTTTACACAGCTCTGCTGTCGAGTGAAAACTCATTTCGCGTATTCTTTCGCCTATTGTGCCAATGATTTAGCATACGGAAATAATGATGTCTGGTTTTACTGTCCCAAAACCAAGTTATGATTATGAAGGACACTATACAGGAGGGATGCTGAAATTTCAACCATCTGGTGTTCTTTAATGTGCACTGACATTGCATAGTACATGAAATGCAATGAGATCAGGATTTTTCAGAAAACAAAGCTACGTTCGAAAATTTCAAAGCAAAAACTTTAGCGCAAACCAGAACAGACCTCAAAGAAGAGATGATCCGAGCACTGGGGCAGACTAACAAATTCTTTATTCCGTTTGGAACCAAGTAAGTAAATACCAAAACCACATAATCACACATTCACACACTGAAGAATACTGCATGTTGAATATGTGTAACATCAGATATAGTTAACAAAAATTAACTTGAACTCATATTTGAATGGGTACAAGGTAATGGAAATATCACTGATACAGTCGGCTGCTTTTTTTTTCCTTCTTCAAATGGTAGACTTCCAAGACAAGTTACACATGTTCTCTTCTTCGCTTATGCGAAAACTTAATGTCTCAGCAAAACATGGGCACTATTGCAGCAAAAGTTGAAATGTGTAAAAAATAAAATAAGAATGTTGACAAAGAAGCACACTTGCCAGGCCCATTTACAAAGCAAACATGGTCTTAAAGATAGGTCACCGTGTAATTCTTTGATAAATGGGGTATTTTCTGGCAACAATCAAGTGCTGAAGAACATGCTTAAAGTCCGGCGAGCTCCGTATGCTTTATGCTTAAAACTCATTTAGAGGTTGTGACACAGCCATGTCATCATTGCTTGACCTTTGTGAACTTTCATCATGTTCTCGTTTGACAATGCTAATAGCATCTGGACATTTCTACCTGTCATAACAGACGCCGGTGCCGACTCCAGTCGACCGACTATGGCAGTGACGAACCTTGTGGGACTTTACCGCGATTGCACAGCCATCACAGTGCTATGGTTTCTCCCTGGAGTGCAAGTGCGAATGTTTTTTGAGTGTGTAGAGAGTCACAAATGCTTTGTTGCATATCTCGCACCGATATGGTCGCTCGCCAGTGTGCTTGCGCATGTGGATCCTGCCAGGTGCAGTGCACAGTGAAACTGCGGTCGCACACGTAACAGTGGTATGGCCTTTCGCCTGTGTGAGTGCGCATGTGCTGCAACAGCGAGTAGGACAGCCGGAAGGCCCGGCCACACACCTCGCACTTGTGCGGCTTCTCGCCCGTATGCAACAAGTGGTGGGACCTGAAAGAGCTCCGGTGCCGTGTCTTGAACGGGCACAACAGGCAGGCATACTCGGGGGGCTCCTTGATGTGCTTGATAGGCTTGACTGGCAATGATGCCCTGCCGATAACTGTACGAGTGCTCCTCAGCTATGTCCATGGGCCCGTGGCTTGACACAGTGACGCAGTAGCTACTGTCGTCATGCCGCAGCTCTGCCGCCCCCAAAGACTTTTCGGTCACCGCGGTCTTCAAAGGTTCAGACGTGCACTCGATCATTGCTGCAAGTGCTTCCTTGTCTTCCATAGCAATAAATTCATTATCATCCTCACCGTCTTTCAAGGATGCGACAGCGATTGCATGCAGTGGTACTAAGTAGGTGTCTGGAACATAAGCTTGTTCTGACCCTTCTGCACCAACAACCTTGCACTCGTCAAAAGAAGTCAAAACTGTGGAAAGTGCGACACTAGTCGCAGAGCTTGATTCTGTAGCCTGATGTGCAGCATCAGCAAATGGTACACAGACTTTCTCTATCTGCGGTAATACTTCAACATTGTTCTTGCCAGAAGCCATTTCTGATTCGAGCGACAGCATTTTGCTTGAGCTTCGAGTAGACACGAACGCTTCCAGATGACAGAAAGTGGGAACTGGGCGAAGTCTTGAAAGTCTCCTGCGGTGTCACTTGACGCCTGTGATGATGAAGTTTGCCAGTCACTGCAAAATTGAAAGGAATAACTTAGCAAGGACATCTGTAGTGTCCAGTAACTTGCACATGTTCAAGCCATGTGCAGCAATTTGAGAGAACTTCCAAGGGAAGAAATGTGATAGGAAGGGGAACAAGGTAAATGCGTAATAAAATCTTATCCTACCTTAACAAAGCTCAACAATAATCAGAACTATAAATTCTAATGGTGTAGTGACAATGGGTAGTGTGATTGGATAACAGTGGGATGAGAGCTTTGCTAACAGGGGCCCCCCAATTTAGAACAGCACACTATAAAATGCACACTTTAATGCACTTGTAAAGCATGCAAAAAGTTTGCAAATGAGGCTGTTATATGAATACTCAGCTCTACTCAACCTTCAAGCCAAGAAAAATGTGCGAGAAATAAAATTAAAATAAACTAGCCTTTACAACAAAAAGCAGATGAAATATGCCTTGCCCATATGCCCTATCTTGTGCAGCCCTACAACAAGTTCTCTAAACAAGATGCAATTTTAGGCAAGCATTGTGTGACGAGACATTTCTTGAGAAGTGAGCTAACTTAAGCCTGTTGGTGCATATTCATTGAAAAAACAGTGTGAAACAACAAAGATGAGAAAGACCAAATGGCTTTAGCGCTGACTATCAACAAGTGCACTTTTTTTTTTGCAATACTAATATATGCACATTCTAGAAAGGGAGATTTACCTATGTAGATGACCATAGTACTCAGTGCTAGTCCCGCTTGTTCTTTCTCATTTTCGTTGTTTCGCACTATTTTTCCCTACGAGTAATTTCGGTTTTGTGATTTTTCTCATCAGCTTTCACTGATAATGGCTGATACATGCCGTTAAAAGTGGCATCAGAGCCCCCAAGCCCGTGACGAAGGAAGGAAAGAATAAAGAAACTGTACTTGTAAAAATGCAGCTCCACAATAGCAGCGTTCAGCAAAACCTGAATTAACAAGGACACAGATAATGCAACCTGCAGCCGACGCAGTCGTGGCGACAGGCAATTCAACGCGTGATGACATAGCTGAAGTGTTGCCAATTTCTCACAGCACACGTGGAATGCCATAGACAGGCAAAGAAAATAGCTTTTCATTTCTCACCCACATTCCTATTTGCTTCAGAAAACTTCGAGAAGCACGTTGATTCTAAGCAAGAATTTACACTGTTCTGCCTAACTGTGCGCTGTGCATAAAACGCTCATTGTGGCAATATGATCCTCTGTAAATTGGCTCATATTTCTGCAATTTTATGTGACCAGAGCCTCAATCTCTGAAACTCTTATTTTCGTCATTAGAACTGACAGCTAACCATATGTGTGTTCGTTAAAAAATATCTAACTGTATCGCCCGCATGCAAGGACCAAGACCGCACGTCTTCCAGTATATTTGGAAAACCAGGAAACTGTGACTGGTCGGTATTGATAAAATATTCACGTGATGTTCAAAGTAAAACCAATTTCAAGATATCAGAGGTATTTACAACAAATAAATAAGCCGCATTCTCCTGTGCAAAAGGAGCAATCATGTAACTGTTGCAAAACACTCACATATAAGCGATAATTGTATAATGCATATATGCGAATACATTTCGTTTTCTTTCTGACATCATATGAATTTTTAAAATTTCTTGAGGTATACAGCTAGAACATGTTGACTTATCTGGATTATTCAAAGAAGTGACTTAATTGAAAAGAACTTATAGTGCATAACCAATTAACAAACTTCTATAGTAAGTACGATATAATGTAGCACGGTGTCCCATTTTCTATTCTATGTCATCTTCTATTTCATGTCTCGAGTCAAAACCAACTTGCCACATTTTCTATTATGCTGAAATACATTAACAATAACAACACACACTGCAATTTACAAACTAAAGCCTACAATCCTACGAAATCTTGCGAGAAATCGGCGTGTAGCAAACTTGGAACAGCCAGAGGACTTTAGATATGTGCTGTAGCTTATGCGGTAATACTAGAATTACGTTTAAATTTTTTATGAATGGTGTTTTTTACATGTCGAAGCTAAAAAATGATGTAATCACAACTGAATTTAGTCACTCACTTTTGAAATACGTATCTAGAAATTGGTGTCAGTCCCAAGAATTTTTTTAAAACTGATATACACCCATGAAGCAATATGTTTAAGTACTAATTATAAGGACCGCCATTCACTAATCTGTCATGAATTATTCGTTATTAGAAATGACATTTGTTTACTTGTGTAATGCTGCTAATGAAATAGAATCGTAGCGAGAGAAAAACAGCAGCATCATACCAGTACGTCTATCTCGGACTCTGCAGGTTCCAAGCATAACACTCATTAATTAAACATGTTAAAAGCCACGGTGACAAGCAAGGTAACATGCCACAAAACTGGTTGAAGGCACTTTTTCTGTGTGCTCAATCTGTGTACTGTAAAGAATACTGCAACAGTTTTGACAACGAAAGTACACTTGTGCTTCATTTGGAGACATTAATGGAAACCATTTCTGTACAATGCACAAACTAGAGAAAAATTCCTAATGTTCTGATGAATAAAAAGTAGGTCGGTTAGTTTCCATAGCGATAGGCACGTTCTAGTGTCGGTCTTCACTTCTAAGCTAGAAGACTGATTGTGGGCAACTAATATTGCTGCTCATCGAGTGCCTTGTGCAAATTACGTGTTGCACCCACTTCAAGTAAAATCCTGAACGCAACCGGCCAGCATAGGTGGAGTGCCTCATTCAGATTATAAGAGAGATACAATGCTTCGTTAAAGTTTTGTTAAACTTCTGATATGCAACAACCCGTTTGAACACACAAGAAAATGTCCCCTCAACATGCACGTCACACGAAATGATAATGTTACTGTATTTCCAAGCGTGTAATCCGCCCCTGCATATAACTCACACAAACAACTATGATCTGTGAAATAAAAATTAGAACTGAAAAAGAAAGCAACTATTACTGTTAAGTGGCTTTTCTTGCAACACAGTGAAGCCAACTTGCGCACTGAAATGCACGTAAAGCCCGTACCTAAACTACAGCTCTGAATGTTCTGCAATTTTTACGCACGTTATGCACGAGAACATACAGTATTTTTAACTGAGCGTACTTTACATGTGGCACCCCACATTCAACTGAAATTCATATTGTCCAATAAAATACAACCAGTAACCTTTGTACATCAAGGTAAGACCAAACTATGTGAAAAAAAAAAAGTGGGTTACTTATCCTTAATTCTTGATAACTTCTCAAATAAAAAAAAGACACTCCGAACAGTGCTTAGCTCACATTGTGCATGAAACAAAACATTCTAATGTCGCTAAACATTTCACACGTAGTTTCAATTTCACTACAACACATGCATAAAAAGACATCACTTGAACTCCCAAGCATGCGAAGAGACCCAGGAAGCTCCTCCACCAGAGAATTACCAGACATACAAAATGTAGTTATGTAGTTGCACTTTCCTTGTGAAAAACTGTAAAATTGGTGAACATATATTTAGCCTTGAATCAGGTGGATTTGGAGACATAGCAGTAAAAGACAGTGAGAAGTAGAGATGAAACTACAGTAGTAGGCTCGTTTGGCAAGCTCCTTATGCTGATCAGAGTACAAAGGTTGAAAGCCTACTCAGAAGGCAGCTAAAATACAGAAATGCATACTGACAGACATTACAAAACACACTTATAAGTGTCAAATGAGTCTCAGCAGAAAAATCTATTTGAATTATCCAAATAAAAGTGAATATCAGAGGTTATGGCACCAAATGCATGGCACAGATGACATGAAGTTTAGTGATGCCTCAAAAAAACGCTTGCAGATAGTTGAATAGTTTTGCTACACTGTCACCAGCTTTGAAAAAAAAAAAGAACAAAAAAAAAAAGAATAAGTATATTCTATAGCACAACAGTACATGACACATGACGGGAACGGATCATCTTTGATTCAATGAAATGCTTGCTAGACCTTTCTTTACACCTTTTCTTGCCACCCAAATATACCAGTTCAGCCACTTTTCAATCTTGCTTTGACATTCTGCGTTCATGCACTTATATTACTACATGACCCAAAAAACAACAACAACCACCAAGTTAGTCACGCAGATTAGTTTGGGAAGGGGCATCAAGCAACAATCGTGGCGTAAAATGGAGTGAATTACTCATTGCCTACAAAGATTGTTATTCACGTGATGATCCAGCGAGCTTTTCGTTACAAATGTTGCCGTACACTCGGGGCACACGTTCTCCGGTTGTGTGTGTGTGCGCCTGTGGGACAACAGTGAGTTCAGATTTTTGAAGGCTCGGTCACACACGCTGCAGATATACGGCCTCTCGTCCGTGTGCGTGATTTTGTGTTCGGTCAGGGACTTCCTACAGAAAAAGGTGCTCGGGCACAAACTGCATTTGTACGGATGCTCGCCCGTGTGAGTGCGTATGTGGTACAGCAATGTCGACTGCCGCACGTAGCTGCGTCCGCACACGTCGCATTTGTGCGGTGAGACACGTCTGTGAATGCTCCTGTGAGTGGCCATGCCAGCCTCGGCATTCGTCATGAACGGGCAAAACTGGCAGGTGTAATTTGCTTGCCCCTCGAGCAAGATGGCCTAAAGAAGACTAGTTCCTTGCACGTGCAATTCTGCGCCCCATTCAGCCCTGATGCCTACAAATGAAATTGTGGCCTCAGAGCCTACATGACTGCTGGTGTCCTCAAGGTCGCCTGCACCCAGGCGCGTGGCAGCAGTTTCCAAGGTTGCCCTTTCGCCATTAGCACTACACTCTTCAAAGGCACCCACTTCAGGAGCTTCACAGGCCAGTGGGTCATTGTGAAGTGAACAGTCCCACAGGTCTTCGGACGTAGGAACGTTCTAGGGCCGCTGGAGCCAGATTCAAAAGCAATGGGGTCTTGACTTAGTGACGGCAGAAGCCCAACGCTGTGCTTGCCAGCCAACCCTGCAATGTTACAACGCACCAGTGAACTAGGAAAGATTTGATGCCAGCAGTGTAAATACTGGAATACTCAAACTACCTGGCTAATGACCATGATATATCTTATGCAGGTGAAACTTATCTATATGCTCCAGTGTGTTGCTAAGATGAACTTAAGATTACACTTAAGAAATAATTTCCTAAACAAAATTAAATTACACTAAGAAACACTGACTTGAAATCAAGATATATTGCTGTCCAGTACAAACGATGATGATGTAGCAGGATTGCAGAAATTAAGGAAGAATATTTTACAGGTGTAGGTACCACTTAAGCATTTATTTATTACTTCCAGTTTCTTTACACTATATTACATATTAAACAGGCTAAAAAGAAGACATTTATGAAAATTTTGCAGCATGAGATGATTTCTACTGAATAAAGAGGCATTAAAACACATGACCACCTGAAATACTGAAATGAAAACAGGCATTTAGAATTTACTCAAAGGGACAATTTACATACATTAACATTTTGTTCTTCAGTAAATCAGTCAATATTATAAAATTTGGTTCAAGAGTAAATAGTGGGTTAATAGAAGTAAAAGAACCCACATGTTACCTTATCAGAACTGGTGCTAGAAAAGCAAAGCGTAATAATATAAACTAGAACTAGAAAACTGGACCAAACACATCAAAATGGCTAAAAAAGTGCAAAGTAGTGACAGATGCAAATTCACAAAAAAGCAAAAAAAAAAGAAGCAACAAAGAAAGATCTTGTTCTCATAAAATGACAACAGATGAAACAGATAAGTGCTATCTATCAACAATCTTACAGCATGCTCTTACACAGCCTCAGCTAGTTAGATAGAAAAAAATGTCATCAACAATGCAGTGGTTGGAAAGTACGTATGACTTGTCAAATGTAACAAATGATGCTAGTGATAAATGCAAAGACCATTAGGCTGTACAATCAATGATGATGTCCCACGAGCCCTTCACAAATGTATTGCTACTACAAGTGAAACGAGAGAATAAAAACACAATAGTAATGCTGAAACTGCAAAAGGTTTAGCATAGCAACAGGTTGGTTATATGTGGCCCACATAGAATTTTTTTTTTTTTTTTTAGCTAGGCATATGGCATAAAATGTTGAACTGACGGCTTGGCAAAACTGCATAGCTAAAAGGTACTCTTAGAATTTGCAAATTATGGTTACAAAAACAGACAAGATGGTTTTTCAATATTTCTTGAACTGTATAACATTTCTAAAGCAGTTGCAAATGCAGCTGTAAAGTTAGAGGCTACAAGCATCACTAACAAAATGTCATAGTGCACAGTTAGTAGCCAGAAGATGGACTGTATGTACCACAACCAGAAGCACAATATTACTCTACTGTCTGGAAATGAAGGCTGAACTTGATTTAAAAGGTGGAAGACATCTTTTTTTAGGCTTTCCATTTAAAAAGAAATCCACTGAGTGCAGATTGAAGTAAGGGAAGCAAGGTAATCTTGCCACATGTGCTGAAGTGTGCATCCTCTGCAAGTGTACCTTCACGATGGAAACACAGTTTTTCTGCAAAAGCTTCTAGAACTTCTGCGTGTCTTCAATTGGAGCAACCCGACGGAGAAGATGCCATAAAGGGCATATTGCAAAAACTGCAATGCTCTGACTCTCATGCCTGTTCTTCAGGCAGTATCACTTCTGCGATGAAACTATCTTGCAGCTTGTTTGTATGAAAGATCATAAGCATGACATCTTGTTTTCAGAACTTGCGCAGTTGATGCTTCATGCCCGCTGTGCTACAGGTGTATGCGGCGTCGCTTGCACATCCTTCCATCCGTAGCACTCACAGCTGTGCACAAGCACAAAGGGCAAGCACAGATTTTCCGAACTACCACAATGTGCCCTGCCATTTGTTGCACCAATGCTTTGAATGTGCTAATGAATTACGCTGACTTGTAAATATGACATGGCATCACATCACACGCATTACACTTTTTGAAGCTAGTGAACCCACTTTGCACTCGTAGAATCTCTCAGTTTAGGAGGCTCACACACAGAATTCAACTGAAATGGCTGCTGTAAATCTCGTCTTACATAAGCACAGGCTTCTTTTTTCAGCATACTGGCATTTTTGAGCTACTATAACCAAACGTCATCAATCTGTGGTGGACCACTACGTCTAATGCCACGCTCTCAAGTCCAAGATGAAGAAGGAACACCTTGTCCGTAAGGCGGCACAAATCCGTCACAGGCATTCGTGAATTTCAAACTGCAATACAGACAAAGCCGTTAGAAAAAAAATGCTGCATTCAAGCTTATCACTCAATACTTTATGGCAGTGTGACCTCAACTTCAGGAATAAAAAAAAACACACTCACAATGAGCTAGGCCTAAAAGTAGAGGCGAGGAAGCTTCAGTGGATGAAGTGACTTATCTACAGGAAAGTTGCACAATACTTGCAAATAGATTTCAGCCAGGCAACACCAATGTGAAATACAAGCTATAAGGGATTGCACAATATTTATCATTACATTCATTTGTACAATGTGCTTCTTACTGGAAAGAAACGATACTGTAAAAATTATGATTTAGACCTTTCATGGCTTACTATCTCATAAACATACTTGCAAGAATTTCGGGCAGCACACAAGATTTCTTTCTCTTCGCCTGTAGTTATGCACTACTTTTAAAACCGGCCTACACACTTACCATTGTTAAGAAAAATCTCATCATACAGTAGTGATCACTAAATAATGCATAAAGAAAGCACATGGCAAACAGTGCTTACAAAACAGCTGTACCAGCTAGACTAAACTTGAATTTCGAAGTGCTTCTTACACTCCTAGGTATTAAAGTACTAAACAGAGTCCTTACATGTAGCTCATACTGTAGCATTCTAATTCTTTTAAAACATTGACTAACGTGAACTCTAACTAATCTTGCAGTACATAGTACACCACAAAGCAGGGAAAGCTAGCTTATCTTGCAACAAATGTGTTTTCCAAGTTCTGTACACGTGTGATAAAAGCATCTGCTCAGATTACTATCGGTTTCCTAAACAAGACAGAAGTGCATAGAAATGTGTAGGCTCGAAGTGATCAGAAATCAGTGGACAAATGTCGCTGGTGTTAATGTTTTGAGAGTGAAACGCAAGGTTCAGAGAAATCCCGTTTGATGATTTCCAAACATTTCTCGAATACTGTGAGTGCCATTTTTCTTGATATTGTCGCACAAAGTGAACAAGCTCCGATACAATTTCCCCTAATCTAGAGGAAATGCAATGGTTGTCACTTGCATCCACCTTGTTGCATATTCAAAAGGGTTTTCAACCAGTCATTTTTGCCTGCTGTGATTAGATCAGTGAGCTGTACGCTTCATCATTTGTCAGTGAGTGCAACATAAAAGTAAGAATTTTAAACGTTTCATACAAAATTTAGCCAGCTCTGTTTGACAAACAGGAACAAAATAGCAAAGCTGATGTGGTGCAGTGAGGTTGAATGACGTGGAATAACGTGGTTGGATGATGTGGGAGCTGTAATGGGCATGGTGAGAGATGTGGATTAGTAAAGTTGGATTAGTGGATTAGTGAAGTTGATTCGCTCAGAACCCTGAACCACCCTTCACAAAGCACATCTGTATTTCCGATGAGATCGGGCTATAGGTGGTAGCACCGTCCTACGAAAGGGTGGATAGGCGGTCGGCGGCGCGAATACAAATACACGCAGCAGCGCTTCGTCGCGTGCGGTCTGGGCCGATTGTATTGTCAGCATATAAAATACGTTGACTACAGTGTACTGTTAATGCCCTCTTCTTTATTGAATCGGTGCACAGCAGCTATGTAACGTTGACATTACTCACGAGTAAAGCACATTCTGCTTTTCATAGGGATGCTCACCCTTGCTGGCTCTCTTCACGCTTTCGCACTAAATCACTACTTTGTTGTGTTGTTTGTGGTTAGCTTGTGTTTCACCTGCTACACACTGCTGTAGAGTGATTGACCTACTTATTTACATCTTTATCATCTGTATATTACAAAAAAAGAAAAAGAAAGATAGATAGTAGAAAGCCCACATATCTGTGCGATTCGTTCACTACCACTGTTCGCACCTTATACTCTTACGATTTTTTTATTTATTTATTAGAATAACCTCAGGGCCCGTAGGGCATTACAGAGGGGGTGGGTACAACATTTATAACACACAAGAAAAGATTCTTCTTTTCTCTCATTCTGTTCACCATGAAATGTGGGACAGTCTATATGTCTATTCAGAAAAGCTTAGTGGCTGACGATGCTTTGCGCTACACAGCGGCTACATCGTGTACGCACATGTTCTTGCACGGGAAAAATCTTGTATAAGAATTCAGCAGAACGCTTTCATTGTTGGATTAAGTGCATGACAATGTTTCAACAAAGGCCTGGTTAATGGTAAAAGCAGGTTTTTTTTTCCCAGAAAAAAATTAACACTGCCTTCTGTCGGTCACTAACAATGACACACAAATGCTGAAGACAATGTAAAAAAACAGCAATTTCAGTGAAATCATACAACATTCTACGTAAGGCATGCCGTCTGAATTAATTTTCAACGTCTGGGCTCATTAAAGCGTTCTTGAATTTAAGCACACAGTTGCGCACGGTAACTCTGTAACTTTGTCTTAAGTACAGTTTAAGTACCGCTGTGTCACAGTGTATGTGATGGTAATATTTCTATGTAGTGGTACCACGACCAGATAAACAGAACTAAGGCTCCTTGCATGATTGGTAAAGTACAGTGCCGTAATTGTACACCTACTAACAATGCCCAAGTGCATGACGTAGAGCCTCTTTTTTTTTTTTTTTTTTTACAACCGAGTCGCTATAAAACGCTGCATTCATACACCACTTAATAGTCCAAGATGTTTGGGAGGATGCAAAGAACATTTTGCCATGTGCTTGAAACAAAAAGCGGCACCCTCTCTGAAATTATTCTGCTGAATAGAGGGTACGATGACAATAAACAGCACTCTGGAAAGTTGCACTTGCCGATCTCATTAAAGTGCATTAGCAGCCGAGCAAAACCAAATACTTTTGGAAGTGTTTTCAGGCATACGTAGAAATAGTTACACTCGAGCTTACATGACTGGACAAACCACACTTTATGAACGTGCATGACGTACACGCACAAAGAAACACGACGTGGCTAGCAGATGACGCACGGAGCAATCCACACTTCACCACTTCGGCCACTTGCCGCCAGGCGTCGAATCTGCTCAATCTCACGGCCAATAGAGCGAATGCAAAGCAACGCGCAGTAAATGTGTTCGCAATTCCAGCCTCAAGGAACAAGTCGAGGGTGTACCCTAGTCGTCTTCAGTATTCCATCTTGCAATGAAGTAATTGTGGCACGGCAGTTTTAAGATATCATAAAAAAGGTATGATTACATTTAATTAGGATTAAGTTTTCAATGCACTGAATTGCACATACAGCTTTAAAAGGGAGCAACTTTTAAAAGGTTGTTGTTCAGAGCACTAGACAACAATAATGTGTCAGAACAGTAATTCATTTTTCTTGCCTCAGCTATGACTGTTTGTACAAAATCAATTTGCGTGCACGTTTATTCTAACTCATCGGCTTGAAAAACAATTTCAACACTGCTTTCATGTTAAAACTATTCACAGACATCTCAGTTATTGCATTACATCATGGGGTAATTTATATTCAGTGCACATTTGTCCGTTAAAGGTATTGCAAAAACAAGCAAATCGACTCATAACTTTCGCTTCACGTCAAGCGCCATCACATGCGATTTTTTGCCAGCTTGGCGTATTACCCATCTCCCAAATATACGTTTATAATGTGTGTTTTGTTTTTCAAAATTTTTCACCACACCCTCACTATCAACATATATTCTATTACCTTGTTGGATAATTCTAATAATACTAGATTCTCGGTCGCCCATAATCTGTTATTACCTAAAGTTCGCACTAATTATGGAAAAATGAGCATTGTTTTTTCATCAATTTATTATGCAATTTTTTTATCACATGATGTGAAAGACTTAATGCACATTCATGCTTTAAGAGAAAATTGAAAAAGTCTCTATTAAATGTATAACTGCTGCATTTTGTTAATTTTCGATATCTTGCTTTGTTTGTAAAAAAAAAAAGCTCGAAACTGTTCTCTGACTTGCTCTTTCGTTATTCATATTTTAGCTTTTTATTGTATTAACACTGGAGGTCCCGCCTGCGGTTTACTACCTTGGGACCTCCTCCTGCACACTTACTCACAATGTACATTTCTGATGCTAATAAAGAAACATTGATTGATTGATTGACACTGATAGGTTCGCAGAAATTTAAAACGCAGTGACCAACCTAAGGCTGCAAATGACCAGGTTCAGCATGCTAGAGTACTGGATACAGAGGCATAGCGAAATAGTCCGTAAATTTTATGTCCAACTAATGCTGAATGTTGGACGGATGTCAAAGTCGTATAACTGATCCTCCAGGATAAAATTATGGCTTACTTTGATCCTGTATTTCGGACACAGGATGGCACTTTAAGCAACTAGTTCGCCTTCACATACTTCAGTATCATGCTTGCGTGACCCATGCAGAACACACCAGTAGTTCATTCACAAGGCTACGAGCTTTCGCGATACATTTACTGCCGCTGAAAGTACGTCGCGATAGTGCAGCACTTTTATGCAGATAATAAGAGCTCCCTGTGTATAGCGCAAATACCTATGAAGTTAAGCGTAGTATGCTTGTCTGTATGCTACACTCGGAAGACGCACACAACCGGGAGTACCCCATCTCGCACAACAGTGGATGTTAACAAGGTCACAGAACCCCTACCATTTTAACAAGGTCGACTGCGTTGACAACAGACATTCACAAGGAACGCACAAGGAATACAGTAGTCCATACCCAACGTGAAATTCTCACTTTTACGAACAGCTTCATTTTGACGAGCCCGCGCACAGGTTAACGCACGCTACCAACACCGGCGATAGAATCACGAACCCGCAACGATAGCTGAGAACATGCGAATAAGAGTAACAACAAAAACAGCAGCGGACAGTAGTTTCATTCTTACGCTACGGAAGTTGACATGTACGTAGAATCAGTAGCGGGCGAGTTGAAACAACAAACGCTATGAACGCGATAGAAGCCATCACATGAAAGCATGCATCATGGAGGGAGGAAAAACACTGGATGGAAGGATGGATTAATATGGCTGTTTCCTTCAAAACGAGCGGTGGCTAGCGCCACTAAGCCGTAATACTTTGTGAATCAAAAACTAAATTTATATTCCCCCCCCCCCCCCCCTCCTTTAAATAGTGAGGTTGAGGACTCGTACTTTGCAGTGAAGGATTTAATTTTCACTCGTGCCTCAAATCTAGGCACCAATCAGATAACCTCTTTCTAGTCCATTCTACCCGCTTAAAGTCTATTTTGCCCTCCTTGTCCCCAAACCCCAGTGCTTTGAAAAACTCTGCGCCATCATCCTAAACTGTAGGGTGAAGCCCTTTACAGAACATTATCAAGTGTTCGGCAGTTTTTTCTTCCTCTCCACACGCACTGCATACTGTGTCTACCCCTTCGTATTTGGCCCGATATGTCTCGGTTCGCAATACTCCCGTCCTGGCCTCAAACAGTAGAGAACTACCCCGAGTATTATCATAGATCCTTTCCTTGGCGATTTCCTGCTTGAAAGTTCGATAGATCTCTAGTGCGGACTTTTTAATGATACCAATTCTCCACATGTCAGTCTCCGTTTCCTTCGCTTTATTCTTGACCGATAGTTCTTTTTGGTTTGGCCACCTTCTGTTGTCTAAGTATTTACCAGTCAATTTCCTAGTTCGCTTCCTACATTTTGTATCGACGTTCTTCATGTACAAATAGCTGAAAACCTTCCTAGCCCAACGCTCCTCCCCCATTTTTCTCAATCGCTTTTCAAGTTTTATCTTGCTGCTAGCTTCCCTGCCCTTAAATGATGCCCATCCCATATCCCCTTGTACTCCCTGATTTGGTGTATTCCCGTGAGCTCCTAAGGCAAGCCTACCTATTCCACGTTGCTTAATTTCTAATCTTGCTTGAACTCCCGATCTCAGGCACAAGACCGCATCGACGAACGTCAGACAAGGAACCATGACCCCTTTCCATATTCCTCTCACAACATCATGCCTATTGTAATTCCACAGTGCCCTGTTTTTCATCACCGCTGCATTCCTGTTACCTTCAGTCATGTATATTTCATGTTCTCTTAGGTACTCGGCCCCATTGCTCATCCATACGCCAAGATATTTGTATTTATGTTATCTCTAGCATGACCACCTGTAGTCGAGGCTCACTACCTCCATTATTATTAAAAATCATGACTGCTGATTTTTTTCTTACTGAATCCGAAATCCAACCTATCTCCCTCATTACCGCGGATGTGCATCAATTTCTGCAAATCTTCCTTGTCGGCCATTAGCCCTATATCATCTGCGTACATCAGTGCTGGTAGTGCCTGTTCAATGAGTTTTCCTTGTTTGACGAAAGAGAGGTTGAGGCCCAGTCCACTTCTTTCTAATTTGGCCTCTAATCCTTGCAGGTACATCATGAATAACAAGGGTGACAAAGGACACCCCTGCCTAAGCCCCCGTTTTACCTCTGCAGGCTTGGATACTTTTTTTGCCCACTTTACAACTGCCTTGTCACCTTTATAGACATTCTTTAAAAGCTTAGTTACTCCATCCTCCACCCCCACGGACCAGACCCCTTGAACCACGCTATCGTACGCTCTCTTGATATCCAAGAATGCTATCCATCGAGGCCTGTGTTTCTTTTCTGCGATTTCGATGCACTGCGTCAGTGAGAACAGATTGTCTTCCAACCTCCTGTGTTTCCGAAACCCATTCTGCAGTTCCCCCAGCACCCCCTCATCCTCTATCCATGCCTGCAGTCTTTCATTTATAATCTGCATTGCCAGCCTGTATACCATGGCATGCATGAAAGCCATGGGCTAGAGTTACTGTAGTTAGCATATACAGTAACTCTGCCATGGGCGATGCGACGCTACTGCGGTCACAGTTTCAAGCCGGGCCAAGTCAAATCCGGAGATTCAAAACCGCAGTAGTTTGAAAATGGCCGCCACGTGTGACAGCACCAGCAGCATGTCCAACGACGTGGAAACCGTGGTATGCGAAACCAGCTGCCTTGACGGTGCGACAACTGCGCCAGCGGGTGACCACACGTTCGACTCTACTTGCCGCATTGAGGCAACCGTGGTCACCGGGTTGGAGCACATCGCACGGGACGAATGCATCGACAAGCTGGGCGTTCGTCCAGATACTTCGCGTGGCCGAGTGTTCTTCGATCTTCCCATCGACCGCGTCACCGAGGTGGGTTTAGTCGGTAACGGTGGTCGTCTTCTTGCGAATTGACTGGCCGTGCAAACGTGGATGCTAGACACACATCAAGACACCACTAACGCCTTGGCTTGGACAGCTTGACTTTTCTCGTATCCGTATTTGCACGTTCAGTCTCTTTCATGTCTCTGTTATTCTAAACGTGTGTTGTTGTCACGGCATGGCCGCCTGCGAAATGAAAAGGAAGCTGTGTACGTACAAGGTGAAGAAATTTGCGTTGCTTTCGTGCGAGGGCTTGAAAACCGAACGCAGGCACGCGCTTGCGTTCGGAAAAAGCGTTTATGTACATTGACGCGTTAATTTGACGAAACTTTCATGGTTGAACATTGAAATAGTGACGCTAATTGGTTGTTGGAAGAAGGACGCGCAGAGCGTTTGGTGTGGCGTTCGCGAGCTATTACGTATGGCGTCTCTGTTGCGACAGTTGTGACTGCTCGATCAACTCTTCTTCGAAGGGCTTGGCATTGAGGAGTTTAACGCTGGAAAGCGCATTATTCATTCGAAATGATCCTTGAAAGCGCATATTTACCCTTTCAGTACAAACGCAGGTGTCGACCCTTACTAGTTATGGCAAACGGGTTTATTTGGCCGTTTTAATAGGGTAGGCAAACCTTTGCGTGCGTAATTTCCTATTTTTTTTTTTTTGCCACTGCCATGCACCGTACGCCAAACTAATTGGTACGCATGCCATTTTTGAATGTAGTATGCATAGCCAAGGACCACAAAGCCTGTGCATGGGAATATTACCTCGTAAAAGAACTTGTTGTTGGGCTACTTGGTAGAGCATTTGTAAAAGTTAATTCGAGCGCGAAAACACAACACGATCACTCACACACACACACACACACACACACACCCATGCATCAAACACACACAGCACTCACTTCCATCTGATTTATTCATAGTTTGAAGGCTTGAATATATACAGGACACATTGTGCGCAGACACACCATAGAAGGCCAACAGCATACATTATCAATACGTACAGTTAATCAATTGCATAGCCTATGAGCGATAAACTGAAATTCGCTTGGTAACAACAATATTGAAGGGGCGCTTTCACAGTGATCTTTTTTTTTTTTCAACAAAAAAGGCCTCTAACACTTCACGTGCAGTTTTACTTGCGCTTCTGCCTAGAATCTTCGTCTCAGAAAATCGTGCGTCACAACCACACAAACCTTTCAAACTCGCTCATCACTGGGAGGTTGGGGGGGGGGGGGGGTGAGTGATACTTAAATGAGAAAGAAGAAAGAAGATAAAAGTGAGCCCCCTAACTTTCAGCATCAAAAAAAATAAAGATCACTGTGTAAGCGCCCCTTCAATATCGTTGTTACAAAGCAAATTTCAGTTTATCGCTCTGAGGCTATGACATTGATTAACTGTACGTATTGATAATATATGCTGTTGGCCTTCTATGGTGTGTGTGCGCACAATGTGTTCTGTATATATTCAATCCTTCAAGCTATGAAGAAATCAGTTGGAAGTGAGCGCTGTGTGTGTTTGATGCATGGGTGTGTGCGTGTGTGAGTGATCGTGTTGTGTTTTCGCACTCAAATTAAATTTTAGGAATATTACCTCTGTGGCATATGACACTGCCCCTTTTGTAAGCCTACTCACAACAGGGAACAAGAAGGAAAGGAAAGGCAGGGATGTTAACTAGTCTAGAGCGACTCGTATGCTACCCTACACTGGGGATAGGGATGAGGGAGCTTGAAAAAGGGAGAGAGAAAAGCATGCACACTCAAAGTGACTTGTAAAAATAATCCTAACACTATTAGTCTTGTTAGGATTACTGTGCGTATAACTTTTGAGTGTGCTTGCTCTCCCTCTCTCCATCTTTCAAACTCGCTCATCACTGGGAGGTGGGAGGGGGCAGTGATACTTAAATGAGAGAAAAGGAGATAAAAGTGAGCCCCGTAACTTTCTGCATCTGAGTGCGACATCTCAACAGTGGCTCATGAGGGAAGGGGATAAAAAGGGATTAAAAGGGATAGGAATAGAGATGAGGACACCTACATACAGAAGTAAAGACAAGATAGAGAAAGATGGGGACACGGACAAAGCAGGATCGAATCCTGGCTGCAGCGGCTGCATTTTCGATGGAGGCGGAAATGCCGTGGGCCCGTGTGCTCAGATTTGGTTGCACGTTAAAGAACCCTAGGTGGTCGAAATTTCCTGAGCCCTCCACTGCAGCGTCTCTCATAAAGGTATGGTGGTTTTGGGTCCTTTAACCTCATATATAAATCAAATCAACATGGTCGAAGGAGTGCGAGGACGGGGTACCACTCAGCGAGAGCTTCATGGTGTCAGGACATGGCGGGGGGCGAGCCGGTCGGCCGGAGCTGCCCTGTCGTCTGAGATTGCGGGGGCACAACCGTCCGGCACAGAGTCCAGTGAGAGAGTCCCCTGGCCCCAGTGTAGGGTAGCATACCAGTCACTCTAGGCTGGTTAACATCCCTGCCTTTCTCTTCCCTTTTGTTCTAGTTTTAAGTATGCCTACACAAAAAGTTCCGTAAGTCTCTGAACTTAGGGCATAGTAGTGCTTAACCAATGAGATTACCATTGGCGCCAAGAAGAGAAGTTCTGTTTTTCAACATGACAGTAACGGAGGGTTGGAGTAATGGCTGCCATCTTTTCATCTCTGATTGGCTCAGAGAGCTGTTGCAGCCTCTGTGATTGGCATCAAGTGCCACCATTGCTGCAAAGCTGGACACTAATGCAGAATTGCAATATTGCACCTCAGGCTTGGATGAATATTTCACGTATTCCAACCCCATTTCTTTACACTGTTCAATGTGCTTGTCCTTGATGTGTTAGTCGATAAAGTGATGGTGGTCGATTGACAACAGGTGTGGAACCTGCAAGGTGTGGACAATCTCTATGTGGTAGTCTCAACCTTCTCAAACATGGAGGTGCCCTCGTCCAAGGAGGAGATGGAAGCAGTGCTCGTTCCTCTGGTGGAAAAGATGCGCTGGGAGACGGCCCTCGAGGTCTGGCGGCGAATGCGTCCGAGTGCCAAGTTTGAACTTGCCGATTTCTTTCGCAAATACCAAAAAGAGGCCCACAGCGGTGCCGGGGACGAGGTAAGGCAAACTGTTCGCCTTTTGCATCTTGTGGTTGGGTATGTTGTAATCGCTGTGAGCAGAGAAGCCAATCAACTGATGATTAAGGAGAGCTCCTAGTCAAAATCGTGTGATGCACTTGCACTGCATCTCTAGAGTTGCCATTTTTACCCACCTCCTCCCCCACCCCCCAAAAAATAAAACGCTTTGAGGAGGGGGTTTGGAGGTTAGTCTTTAGGGGGAGAGGACGTTGTATGTTGAACGATAGACATCATGTGAAGTCCTTGTCACGCAGTGCCATTTCAGGCAACATAGTTTTCCTTGAGTGTATGAAGCTTAAGTACACAGGGGTCCTCTGTTAAAGAGACCGGCCGCAGTTTGCAATGGGTTCTGGGTAGGCCCGCTAGCACTGCATGCAGTTTTCCTTTCGTCACTTGAACAGTTCGCCTTGCGATGTTTCGAAGCATGTCTGCAGACGTCGGGAAAAAATGAACCAGCACCACTCACAACGTGCACTGCGCCTGCGCATCATCAGTTGCGGCCATCATGCGCACCGATGTTCCCTTTAACAGTGAATCCCTCTGTACATGTGAATAAAAATGCAACACTGAGCCGACTTCGTCTATTTGTGGAATAAAAATATGCATGAATGGAATGAAACTTGTACTCAATCTAATTGAGGTTTTTGTGTGAATACAGCTTTAAAGTTATGAATAAGTTCAATGTGTGAAGTTCGATGTTACAGGCTAAAAATTATCAGTGGAGTGCCCACCTTAACCTTCTGCATCACCGGGCTTTTGAAGCAGAAAGAGGCAGAAAAAAAGGATGGCCCCAAGTTTCGGGTCACCTGTCACCGGTCGGGTGAGAACCACAAGTTCACCTCGATGGAGGCGGCGGCCGTGTTCGGGGGTGCGGTGAACGACACCTTTGGCTGGGGTGTGGACATGCGCAACTTTGACCTGGAAGTGGTGCTGCACGTTGACCCTGGCTGCGTGTACGTCTGCCTGACGCTGACCACAGCCAGTCTGCACCACCGGCACCTGGAGCACTTTGGACCCACCAGCCTTCGGTGCACCATTGCTTACAACATGCTCAGGTTGGTATTGGAGGGCTTTAGTTTGTCCGTAAATATATGTGCGTTGTTGTTAGACAGTTGAATCCCTTTATAAGAGACACACATTGGGCAGCAATTCTTGTCTTCAATATTGGGTGTGTCTTATAAACAGGGTACTGCGTGGTAATTTTTTTTATCAACCCCTTATTTCAGCTTAGGAACACTGGTGCCTGTTACATCAGTGTCGTTTTATAAAGAGTTTTGGCTCTACTGGAGACCATCGCCATAAATGTGAGAGCCCCATTAGATGGGGCCATCTGGTGGTGCCAGGATTAGCCCGGCAGGAATAGAATTGTTATTGCAGAAAGCTAATGCATCCCAGTTCTTTGCTGCTGTAAATTCTCTGTAGCTGTCTGATTTCAAATGAGTTGCCTTTTAAAACTTCCTTTTCCCTCAAGAGCTTGAGGTGAAAAAAAAGGTCTGTAATTTTGACAGTGCAAAGCATCACAAGAGGTTGACACCATTGTATGGTAACCCTGCATTCTATAAGCCCCTTTGAATATAAGGGAATACTGATCAAGCTAAAAGACCCCCACTTTGTCATCAGTATCTGCACTGCTCGGTGCTAAAGCTATTCTGCAGGCTTCGGCATCTGCTTATAATAGATGGCTGAGGAAGAGTGCTTAGAAAACACTCTTGCAAGCTAAGAAGCCTGAGGAATGCTTTGAAGTCTCTGCAGTTCTAACAGTTATGGCTGGTAAAATATAAGAATGGCTGTTTCTCTCTTTTGTCGCTATTGCTTACTTATTGGTTGCCTGTCGACGCAGACTATGCAGTGAATGTTAGTACTTGCAAAGTGTGTTTCAGCAAATTGCCAAAGCGTAAAATAAAAAAAAGTCACAGCTTTGCCGCAACGGCGAAGCAATTAACGCGATAGCAACAAATTGGAAGGTCAAGCGCAGAATGGAAAGCACATCGAAACGTGCCTTGTGTTCCTCACACATAAATGATGCACGAAACGTACTCACAGGTACAGATGAAGGCAAATAAGTGTCTCAGTTATTACTTCACTGTGTCTGAAAAGCTTGCCCTTTTCGAAAGCGAAGACTGTAATGATTGCAGTGATTTTATGCGCCTGGTAGCTACAACAAAATCGTTCGAAGTAAAGCCTGAGGCCAGCAAGATGTACGATCCTCTCCTCCTCCCTACCACGAGATAAAGGCATGCGAGCTAGCATGGCTCCCCTCTTCTAAGCGAGGCAAAGTACACATGGGAGATTAGAGCGCGCTCCACCGCACGATGTGGCGATGTGCGCTCATTTAGCCATCTTGCTGGTAATGCTCTAGACACGATGATTCCCCCCGAGTTGCCCGTCAGCAGCGGTAAGTGGTAGATATAAACAGCTTGCCGTGTGAACAATGAAGGACTTGCTAGTCGGTGGCTCACTGGTTAACGCCTCGCACTCACGATTGAGAGGACCCAAGTTCAGCTCCGTGCCGGAGTCTTTCTCTCCTGGTTTCTAGGTTTTTCTGGGATGTGGATGCCGACAGAGAAATTCAGCCGAAAGTGTCCATATTATTGCTATCGCAATAAAGAAAGTTTCTAGCCCAGTGGTGTTTAAAGGCCCAGCACATGACATAGCGTGTGGTCTCGTATAAGGGCCACTTTATTTCAGTGTTTTAGAATAAAAAGCGTGACTTTAAAAGGAGTTTATACAGTACATAAAATTTATTTATGTGTTTGTTCGCAATATAAACCTCCTGTCAAGCGTAGCGTGCCAGCAGTATATAGACACCGGCAAAAATCTGTTTTTCTAATAAAGAGTCTCTGTCTCTCTTTTAAACAAATTATAAGTTTGAGTGCCGGCTAGCTCTTTCAGAGCTACAACTAGTACACATAGCATGTCGATAGTTAAGGAGGTGTATGGGAAAATGATGTTGCAATAATTAGGTCATTTGATGAGAACATTGTGCAATTAGTACAATAACATGCATGTGTTTGTACCTGCTCATGGCACATTTCACATTTAAGCACATAGATTTGAAACCATTTATAACAATCCGAGATATAAGAGTCTATCGATTATAACAACCACATTTCTGTTACGATTTTTCTATGCTACCCATAGAAACTATGTCCATATATAGCAAACATTTTTCGAAGCCTCTTACTCTTACAGTGAACGCTTCTGACATGGTCGCGGTAAATACATGGTGCATGCAAAGCAGAAAATAAGTCAAAACAGGCACTTTAAAGCATGTATGAGGCGTGCGCTCGCGTATGGCCCGCTATCATTTTTCACGGCGAGCGCCTCGCACGTAGATTTCGTGCGCTGCGAGCGAGGTCGTTCACTTTCCAGGCATGTCTTCACTGTCAGAAAGGCAGTGAGAGAAAGAAGAAAAAGGAGTCAGCACAAAGACTTGTGGTCAGGTTATGCACTGCAAGCTTTTCTGACGCCATTCTCCCGCACTTATGATCACTGATGACTAACAAAACAATGCCTTTGAAAGCAAGAGGCCCTAAATGCAAGAAGTGATAACATTTTGTCGCTTGAAAGATGCCACGACATGCCGCGAAAGGTGTTCTGCAGTGGCCGGTTCGTCAATGATAGCGACTACCGGGCAGTTGTGGCTGGTGCCTTAACAGAGAAGCATATCTAAAGATCGAAGGCAAGGTGGCCGGTGGCGATGAGTATGCCATTTTGACTCATCGCTGACAACCTTACCACAGTCACTTGCAGGTATCTGCCCGGCTGCACGTGTTTAAACCGTGTCGATTGACGGAGGTTCGAGCGCGTCATGTTGCTGTTCGCCTTCGCAGCATCGTGCAAGGCCGCTTGTGCATTGCTTGCAAAGTGCGTGCCTTCATCGTGTTGAATGAACATGCAACTCATCGCACGCGAGCACGATACGGGGTGAAGCATGTGCGAGGAATGCACAAACGCACGCATAAACGACCTTCTGCAACCAACTAGCCATGGATGATTGTAGGTACCGCGCTTCAGTCGAAAGACGCGTGTTCGTGGCGAACGTTGTTTAATTCACTCATGAGCACACAGCGGAAGTCGCTTAACATGCGAAAAGGCCTAACCTGTCACCCGAGGTGTTGGCACTTTTTAATAAAAATTCACACACACAAAAAACTGTTTGGTTGCTACTAAGTGCCCATTCTTAGGGCGAGTTTGTATACAACGAACTACTGATATAACAACCACTTGTCGTGCCACTTTTTGAGTTCGTTTTAAACGGGTTCGACTGTACTACTGTAAACTCCCAAACGAGCCCCCCCCCTCCCCTCTACAGTGAATAATAATTTGACAAGATTTGGAGGGGGCCCCTTGCTTGGTCAATGATCAAACTTCAAGATGGTGGCAGAAAAACCGGCAAAGAATAAAGAATGCACATCCGTGCTTCTTATTGCTTGCTTTGGTGAGTGTGCATGCATTCACCGTTTTCATTTGCTCGCGTCGGGCGAATAAAAACAGTGAAAGTGATGAGAGAAAGAAGAGGGGTGCTTATTTGAAATCTCCCGAGAAAAGGAGGCACTTGTTCTGGTAAAGTACTTGTTCTTAAGGTAATTTATCTCGTGGTTTTCTTGATATTTATTATTCATTGGTGTATTGCAATTTTCACCGCAGGCTGTGCGACCTGAAGCCAAGTGACATAGTCTGCGACCCAATGGTTGGTGGAGGATCCATTCCATTGGAGGTGGGTGTCTTCTCGACGTTCGATTCTGCTGCTTTTGATTCCTAGCTCAGTTGATTTTTGGCAGCATCTCTACGAGGACCTTTCTATATTTTCGACTGGTGACTACTTCTGAGCCTACTGAGAACATTGAAAAGAATCTTTTCCAGTATTTCCATGGCTTCGGCTGTCATGCTCTCCTCATAGCAGGTCTCGCAGACAATTAGAGTTGATGTCATGCACCCTATTTTGAACTGACTTCCCTGCAGCCTGTGCTAACGATTTTCTAGATCTCGGGCTAATTGTAGGTGCATCTCGATTGACTGCTTTGTTGGGATCTTTAGTTTACTTTCCTAGCAGTAGCTGGAAGCATGACCGCATTTCCTAGCAGCATTACTATTATCTGCTTTTACATTGATGATAGGAGCATTGGCATAATTCTGTCGAATACACTTCAGTCATTGCTCGCTAATCCTTCGTTGTATAAGTAAGGCACAGTGCCAATGTTGAAAGCCTGCACGATTGACATTGAAGTGGAATGACCGCTAGTTTACTCAAAGGCCAGAATGGTATCAGTAAAGTCAGAGGTCTGGAAATTATATATATATATATATATATATATATATATATATATATATATATATATATATATATATATATATATATATATATATATATATATATATATATATATATATATATATGTGTGTGTGTGTGTGTGTGTGTGTGTGTGTGTGTGTGTGTGTGTGTGTGTGTGTGTGTGTGTGTGTGTGTGTGTGTGTGTGTGCGGGGGGGGGGGGGGGATGGCTTCTGCTAGTCTTTATAGACCTTTTCACAGGAGAGAAGGAACACCTCCTTTCTGGATTGGTGCATGGGAGTACAAATACCGACTCCTCTGCAGCAATGCATTTGTCTGGCTCGTGCCTTTCTACCTCAGAGTAGAGGTGATTATGATGGTACCCAGGGAACCTTCTGTAAAGAGGTCTATAGCTTACAGTTGTTCACTAGGCTTGTGCGAATGGTGAATTTTAGGTTTGAAGCAATTAGTGATTTTGGTTGAATAATTTCGAATCTAATAGCATATATCATATGTTATAAAGGAAAATGGACATATTTGTCATGACCTAACTAATGTGCAAAATATATATTGAAACCATGCTTGTGCAAATGTTTTTCTTTTTCTCAAAGGAAGTGGAAACAACGTCCAATAGCAAGCAAGATTTGACTTTTCATAGAATGCAAGTGATAATTTGTAAATATGTTATATCTTAATATTTACTATAATTAGAGCATATAAGCCAGTATTACAAGTATTTAAACATAAATATAGTAATGCATGTGGGGATGATATGGTCATTCAACGAGTAAGGCTTCGTAACAGTGTGGATCTTAATAACAGGTGTTTTCACAGCATAGCACCCTTTACTGCAATTAAACTACCTTTACGGAGTTACACATGGATTAATGTACACCTGTTCTTTCATTCCGAATATTTTGAAATTTTCATTGATTTGAATTCAAAGCAAATTTGAATACTTCAATGTTCATTTGAATATTGTGATAGTTATTCAAATATTCAAAGTATTCGTATATTCACACAAACCTATTGCTCAGCCATGAGCAGGCACAATATGTAGGTTTGAGCTGCTTATCTTCTTGAGTCCTCTTTGTTTCTGATGAGTGAAACGTGCTCATCTTGGCAGGGTTGCATCAATTGGCCGCAAACCGTGTTTGTGTGCGGTGACAACCACCCGTTGGCTGTGCAGCGCTCTCACGACAACATGTCCGCACTCAACGAAAAGCGTGCCAAGGCAAGCTCGGAGGGGAGGTATGTATTCTCAAGGACACCTTGGTCGGCTCGTTGGTAATATCTGTTGATGTGATCGATCACACAAAAAATGAAGCTACGCAGAGAGGCAAAGACAGTATTTTCTAAGAGTGACCGGTGATGGCAGCTTCATCAATATCTCTTGGTCTTATTGATTCGCACGTAGAGCAAGTCAGCCTCACTGTTTCATTTGTGGTGCAAAAGGTGTTCATCTGACGGTACTCAACGACATTGTGCAGTAGTGACAGTCAAGGCAGAACGCGGACTGCCAGCTCAGGGCAGTGTTCTTCGTTCTTTCAGAATAGAGCTGAAGAGGACAACCCACTCAGCGCTGGAGAGGACGATTCATTACAGAGTTCTGTGGTTTGGTTACAGTTGCCCCGGATAGTAAAGGGCACCTAACTTTCGGAAACCCTGACGGCTTGGTATCATGAGCATGTCATGGTAGACAAGACTGTGTGAAGAAGTCATTATAATGGCGAGAAATCTTGCCATTTTTAATGCACCAACTGCACACTTACAGTTCTAGTTTGCATTGCTGTCGCCATCAGTTCTACATGTTTTCGGGGAAGCTTCGACTTTTTTTTTCTCTGGTGTTGCAGTGGCAGCCAGCTATGCATGGATGTTTGTCAGTGGGATGTCTGTGCCCTGCCGCTTAGGACTGCTTACCATTGATGTCTTCATCACTGACTTGGTGAGCAGCTCTTGCATTTTTAGATCGTTGCTATATTATATTGTGCTACAAGGAGTGCTTGTTGGGTCACATTTAGTGGGAGAGCTGGGAATAAAACTATTCCATGCTTGTATTGGAGTGAAGCGTTACCATCAGGAAAGAGATGTTTACCCCCTTTGGTTGTGTTGGCTACATGTTTGTACATCTCTTGTTAATGCAAAGTTTTGTCGTTTTGTGGACAAGAGAGATCAAGATACATCTCTCATTGGGTAAATTCAACCTTCAGCAGAGTTATCATGTTTTGACTTAACGTTGGTGTGCTGCATGTAACTGTAGCCTATCACAGGAAGCATCGCGATGTCTGTAACTCATCGCGATCATGTAAGCATCGCATTGTTCCTGGAAAGCGACAGGTCGTTCGACCTGTCGCCTTCCAGGAACAATGGCAGAAGTGTTGCATTTCTTTTCTCAAAACAAATGCAACCAATACTAATTGTGCGTATGTTTGAAGCCTATGATTTAATTTTTCTAAATGTCAGAATGGGACATCGCTAAAGTGCACAATAATAAAGTATTTAATTACATCCTGGTAAACATTATTACCCCCACAAAAACAACACATTACTTCACTCAGTTTTTTTTAGAAGGTAACGCTGAGTACCTTGGAATTATGGTATGTGAATTTGACACATTCAATAGAGAGTGCATCACAATACGTACCTGGAAAGGTTTGTAGTACACTCAGACCTAATGAACACAGATATAACAAAATATCAGTTATAACGAAGTAAATGAAAAAATAGTCTTGCAATAAATATTGTTAGAAGGAACATTTAGTACAACAAATTTACGGATATAACAAACTTACTTTTTTTGTAAGATGCAACTTTGTTGTAATGAGGGTTGAGTGTATTGTTGCTATATTAGCGTCATAATTCAGCCACACTCTGTATCTTCACACGTTGACTAACCTTTCTTCGTAAATGGTCACATGTTTTGATGCCACTTAGTACTGTGCAAGATGCCTGGTCATAGTCTGCAAGCTTTTGCAACATTTGTGGCTGTCCATTGATGCCAGCAGTTGTACTGTGCTTTCGGGAAGACATTTTACTGTGAAACGCTTGTTGTGGCTCTCGCCTTGGGTCATGCACTGATGACACTCCAACACTTGTCCAAGAATGAAAATGTAGAAGGCTAATGAGGGGATTTTATTAAAATGCAGAAGGATGTGGAGACTGCTATGGACGAGTCACTCATAGGGGTGCTTCAAATCAAATCCAAACAGCAGCAAGCCTTCGTGACGGTATAGTACACACCGTTTAGTTATCACTATTGACAGGCGCACGCATTCTGTTTGGCAGCTCTGCGGATATTTGTGCCTGTCCATGGTGATAAGTGGATGGTGCACACTATACCATCGTGAAAGCTTGTCGCTGTTCGAGTGTCATTTGACGCTGATAGTAAATTCAATGCCAGATTTCTTTCAGTGCTTGTTCACACGTGTCTTGACACTGCTGATGCAGAACTATCAATGATACTATCGATAGTAAGTTTAGTAGCACTACCCTTAGCATGAAATCAACCACGCGAACTCATTGCAGCATCAACATTATTCCCCGAGTTTGTGGAGCAGGAGGAGCAAAATGAAGCGCAAGGAAGTTGACATGCTTGTGCTCCACCAAAATCATTCATCAGAATGTTTTCCGCAATATCGCTGGTGAGCAACAGCAAGCTCTTTACTAATGCGTTGTAACGCCACAGGCAGTACTATCGAGTGCACTATCGATAGTTTAAGAAGAATTATTGATGCTATCGATAGTCAATTTTCCGATAGTTTTGCATCCTATAATGGGCGGAGGTTATACAAGAATTTGTAACTGTAGTAGGTAGTTGTAATACTAGTAGCAATGATAGTAAAAAAAAAGAGAAATTGTTAACTACTTGTATGTAGCATGAAGCTAGAACAAAATTTATCTGTGTTTCCTGGGAAAAAAAAATTTTTCTTGCCTAGTTGCTAGCGAATTCGTCCCGGTTTGGGGACCGGACCTGGGATCAGCGCTTTTCCCAGGGCAGTTAGTGTACTGACTAAGCTAACACCAACCGACTAAGCTTTCTAGCCTAGTCGGTTGGTGTACCGACTAGGCTAGAAATTGGAAACACGTGGGTGATCTTGTTGACAACTTAACTCGAAGCACATGGGCATATACTATATTACAAATCAGTTCAGCAGAATCCCGCAATTGTGAATGTTCCTTTCCGAAGCCTTTCGTCACCTTGTGGGATTCCACAAAGCTGATTTACAGTATTCGTTGTAGTTGTAGGTGTCACACCGATCTCACACCCAGAGGTTAAAGGCTGTAGGCATCTAGTGCACATTCCTGCGAAGCAGGAGTAACGGTGGAGAGGGACACCAATGTCTCGTGAACAGTGGCTCAAAGTCTGGCCAACTGCGAACCTTTAGGGTTGCTGCTGCCAGCAGAGACGATGAAGGCAATATCTGGCACGCCTTTGAGGAATCGGTGCCTGTTTGTTTCGTGCAGCCCTTTGGCAAGCGCATGGGATCCCGACCAGACAACCGGATTCTGTACCCCAATCTCCTGCGCGAGCTTGCTCGAGTGACCCGTCCTCGCACTGGACGAGCAGTGCTCCTCACTCAGGACAAAAAGAGCCTCTCATTGGTGAGCATGTGCACGCTTTCCTTTTGTGGTCTGCCAAGTGTGTCATTGGAAGTGCTGAGGTAGGGGGCTAGTTGGTAATGCATAGCTATTCATGGCAGGCAGCACACTACAAATGCTAAATTCCAGTGGCAGAGTCGAAGGAAGCTTTGGTGCCTGTTTTGGAGCTTGTGTTTCCAGTGACAGAGTGAGGGCGGGAATCAGCAGATCCATGTGAGGTAGTCTGTGTGGTTTCAAAGTGGGAGTCACTACATGGAGCAAGAAAAGTTGCTTTGCCGAAATTGGGGGAGTGTACCGGAGCTTGGTGCAACGTACTTTTTCTACATTTGCTTGTTCTACATTCATACTTCTACATTTGCCTGCTTGGGAGCCCCACTGGTGATCATTTGATTTGGTGGTAATGGCGGTTGAGTGGTTATAAACAATTTGACAATACAGTCAAACTCCGCTACAATTGATGCCGCTTCAACGAAATTTCCACTACAATGAAAAATTCACGATTCCCTGTCAGCAGTCCATAGTAGTCAATGCATAAATATTGTCGCCACAACGAACACTTTTCCTTCTATCTTCCTGCTCGAACGAAATTTCACGATGCAATTCCAGGCTCGGATACTTATTGCTATACAGTAAACCCAATCTTTAACATTTCGATGCATTTTAAGAGCCTGAAAATGCGTCAAGGAAGTCTAAAATACACGTTGGCACTTCCAGAAACCACAGCTATACCGCTGCTATTCAACTAGCGTGGGCGCCGCCATTGCTCGATAGCGATAGGTAATGAGACTGCCCTGCTTTTGCCACTGGCTTATTTTGAGCTGCAGACGATCCGAAGCTGAAGCTCAATCGCTCAGTTCATGGTTTCCTTCACGCAGCTCCTGGGTGCAACCGCGGAACGATGCCTTTTCCGATGCTTATCATTATGTTTGCGCTTGGCCAGTGTGGTAACTAATCAGAGTGGCTGTTCGTCTGCATTATCAACAAAATCAGGTAGCCGCGAAAGATGGATGATAAGAATAACATAAAATAATGCAAAAGTGGCCGCTCCACGATACCCTGCCTTCATCTCGGCGTTATCGGATACTTTTAAGGGCGGACAGCTGCCGGTGTTAACGTGTTAATGCAACTGTTTGGTTTGTTCACGAAGGCGGTTTTAGGCATGTTTCAGCGTGCTTTTCACCACTGCCTCGCTATACATGGGTAAGAATGACGTTGTGACACTGCTGATAAAGAACAGGAAGCAGCGGACATTTTTAGTATTTAGAGAATAAACGTTCGTTTGTTTTGCTAGCTCAGATCAGCTTTTATTTTTTTCAATTTCACTTCAACGAAATTTTCGCTTCAACGAAATTTTTTCCGCGCCCCGTCAGTTTTGTTGTAGCGGGGTTTGACTGTATACAATTTGGCAAATTGTGCAGCATTGTTTACATTGCTCGAGAGTGAGATCTCCAAGTTTGAAAAAATGTTCATGTTTGAGTGATTCAACAGATAGTGACAGCGATGCTGAAACTGCCGTGTACGAGCAGGCATTCCACGCAATTCGTCAGCGTAATGAATTAACTGTACGCCAAGCACTCTGGGCAACTTGGCCCTCAGAAGATGGACCTTCCGCTTCCGCCTTCTTCCAGCGGCACGTATTATATTCAATTTGCGGAGTCCGTCGACTGCTTTGACTCTGCCACCAGAATTCAACACGAGAAATACGTGACAGAGCACCAAGATAATACCAGCACATAGACGATTGCAAATAAACATATGTTTTTTTTTTTTAACTCATTCACACCAGCCGTGGCGATCTTGTAGTTACGGTGCTCGGCTACTGAACTGTCAAATGATCGAATCCCAGCTGTGGTGGCCGTATTTTCAAAGGTCTATACGATAGGCCTCCTTCATGCTTATATATAGGGGACCCTAGGTGGTCAAAAATTGCGGAGCTCTCCACTACCGCATTGCTCATAATCATATCGTGGTTGTAGGATGTAAAACCTCAGCAATTATTACTACAGGGTTCGTGCAGGTCCTTGAAATCCGTGAAAATCCTTGAATTTGAAAAAGTGCACTTTCAAGGCCCTTGAAAGTACTGGAATTTTTTGCCGTCCTTGAAAAATCCTTGAATTACCTGAGCAGTGCACTCTTATATCGACATTGCGACGTCCTAAATGTGGTACGTCAATGTGTGAACCTGTCAAACTCCCTGTTTCTGAAGCAGTAATGCCGCGTGGGTGCACACGATCCCATTTTGCAAAAGTGCACACCAAAAAAAAGTTAGTTTGTGGTGATAGTGGAGCAGTGAATGGGCTAGCAAGAAATTAGAATGTGACACGAAGAAGGCCAAGCAACCCCATACACGCAACGCACCGTTCAAGCACGAAGGATGCACGAAAAAAAAGCACGCAGGATGAGTGATGATGAACGACTGTTGTAGCTCGACACTGTAAGCCTGCTGATAAAACAAACCAAGAACTGCGTGCTAGAAAAGAGCACAAATGTATCCACAGGATGAGTGTAAATTAACCACTGTCACAGTTGTTACTTCTTGGTTGTTGAGCAACGTGCTGCGAGTGTCAGCTGCGTACAAGCCAGCACTCTTGATAGGGTGGTGCCATCAAATTTCAAGGCTTTAGCAAGCACCTTGTGGGTTTAAAAATATACTTCAAGTCAATTCCCAAGTGTACCTAAATGTTTATTCTCGTAATCGAGGCCCATTGCGAGCGCGTCCAACCCTGACGTAACTCTACAGAAAGGGCAACAAAAGTTCTAGTGACATAGCGCCAGGTCTGTAGTCAGCTGATTGACCTACAGACTGCTGCCCCGTACATAACTGGCAAAGCATTGCGGCTGCTGCAGGTAGCGGCGAGTTTGTTTTGCAGGAGCTTGTGTGGCACATGTGTGCGAGAGCTGACAATACGCAGCATGACGTATGGAAAGCTTTGTGATCAGGTGACTAAGTCAGCTACACTGCTATGTACCTGCACAACTCGGTCCCCACAAACAGGAACTTAAAATTGTCCATATCGAAAAGGCGACAAATTAAATAGCGAGAATAAATGAATATTGATGCGTGTATCATACTTATTGAAGCTATTATTAAAGCTTGCAGCAAAGAACATGCAAGCCACAAATAATGTGGTATGACCCCTTTAAGGCCTGACTACACATGCGCGTGGAAGCCCATCAGTGCATAACTTTCTGACATGACACTAGGCTTTTTTTTTTATAATTGTGATATTCATATAAGTGCAGTGAAATTGGTCATTTTTGAAAATTTTAGAGTGAAGAATTCCAACTTAGCATGCTGCTTTGTGTCCCTGAAAAACGTGCAACAGGTCCTGGAAAGTCCTTTAATATCCTTAAATTTTCCCTTTGGAAACCTGTACGAACTCTGTACTAACACTTACAGGATAGACGTATGTCTTTTTTTTTTGCATGTCGAAGTGTTGCATAGCCTGCAATAGTCATTGTAAAGTTTTGGAGAGATACGCTCATCAACTGTAAAGTGTGGGATATGGTAACTGGAGACGGCTGAAAGATGCTACGGTGAGCTTACTCATCAAACATGTGTCAGCTCGAAAATGCTTACTCTCTTTGGTTGGAAGCCTTGAGAACACAAGAATATCAAGCAGTAGACCTACCTGCACATCTGCCCTACACAGTCTTTGTGCAACGTGTCCACTCAAGTTCCTTCTAAGACACGCGGAATTTCAAAGAGCCTGTACATTCGTACATTCTGTAGCACTGAAACTTGAAGCTTCAAGAGCAAGCATCTGAACATTTCCATTAGTCTGCTACAGCGTAGAATGCCATTTTCAGCAAGCTCTCCAGACCACTCTCTAAAGTTGGGCTGTTGGATTGCCAGGGCAGAGGACGTCCACTGAAAGCCTCAACTTTTTCTCTGTGAGCTTTGTGTACGCACTCAAATACTCAGCCCGAGGAATGAGTAGATTACGTGTCAAAAATTTCACAGCACAGTGAAAGCTTGTTAATTCGAACCCGAAGGGGACAGTAAGATTGTTCGAATTGAGCAGAGTTTCGAACTGGCAGATGCATGCTAGAACGAACAGACATCGCACTCCGCTGTGTGTGCGGAACTCAAAGAAACCACCTCTGTGCTCATAAATTAAGTTCATGTAGCTCTAACGGCGAGCAGAATTAATTGATCAGTCATCAAGCCGAAAACATGCGCTGACATGCACCATGTGAGCAGTAAGCATTAATCTGAAATATATGGCAGTATTCATACTCCAAAACATTTGCATGGCAGAGTTAATGTAATGAAATTTCAAAGTAATGAGTAGTTTGTTTGTGTTTCTTCTGATTAGACTCCATGAAAATCGTTTGAAGCTTGCCCAAGAACTCCAGTGCAGCCTTTCAATTCTCATCTTTTGAGAAATGCTGCTGTTCTATTGTATTTCATCTCTAGTGAATTTACATGGTAAGTTATTGCAACACAATGTGATGACTGAGGGCCGACATCTGCGAGGAGCAATGAAAACCAGAGGCTCCCTGTTCGAATTATTTGTTTTGTATAATGACCTTTTAAAATATTAAGTGTTTTCCTCCGTAGAAGTATGCAGAGCTGTGCCAGGACGAAAGTGTCAGTTCGAATTGACAGAGTACAAGTTAACGAGCCTTTACTGCCCAGGTAAAACTCAATTCAAGGAAACCGAACATTGCGAATTTCCTGATCCAACGAAAATATTACCATTAACCTGCAGGCACCAATACAGTTCAGTGTTGTCATCAACTTGAATCAACAAAGCTATCATTGCACTCGACTCGATTTAACAAAGCTCATTTCCTAAATATAATTTTTTGATAATGTGGTGATTTCTTCCCGATTGTGACAAAGGCGAGCTTTTCTTGGGGCAGGTGTTTTAACGTTGACGCCTTAAAAGGCCTCACCACCCTGGTCATGACCCTATTTTATTTTATTGAGGCTGCAAACCACAACCATGCATGGAACTTGACACCTGTATGCTCTCACACTATTTTCATTGACAAGGAAGCTAAGGCTGCAGAGCCAAATTGCATGTATCCTATCGCCAATGAATGTAGTTACACACCTGTCTCTGTATTTTCATGCGAAATATAAAAAAAAAAGACTCCTTTAATGGGGGTGATAGAACTTTTATTTGACCAAAGGATTCGCACACATACGACCCCACTGCGCTTTTATTTTCTGCATGTAGTCCTTCGATACACAGCTTGGGCGTTATGCTAAAAATGTAATTACGGCTCTAGCTGTTGTAGATCATGGGCTATCACTCTGATGAGCTAAATATAAGTGAGCCGAAAAACACTTACCATTCAAGTTGTACTCGTTTCACAGATATACTGCGAGTGAAGTACTGATCTTGTAAGACTTTTACAGTGGTAGATCTTACTAATGTAATATGAAAAACTGTTTGTCATATTAAGCCATGTCTCCTCTTAATGGCCCTTGCAGTGGATGGCACTGATGATCTCCTTGCTACTGGACTTAGTCTAGTTAACCTCCCTACCTTTATGATATTTTTTCTTCTCTCTCTCGTTGACCTCATCTTTGCATATTGGCAGCTTGCCATAGCTTCATATGACCCTGCACCTTGCCAGTACTATCTCCCAGGCAAGAAAGGCATCATATAAGGACATTCATTGCAAACGTTTTGTTGTGGTGGCAAATAAAATTTTGCATTAACTTTCAGGTGTCGCTGTGTTGCGGTTTTAAATCTGTAACCCCAGAGAAGATTCCTTTCTTGATTTTATGAAATGATTCGAGCACTGTTGTCACTTCATTACATTAAGTTCCAACTGCACATGGCTGTCTTCTCTCGGTCGACCTGCTCTTTGGTCGCATGCTCACCTGTGCAGGCCGTGGGACGCATGGGCCAGCTGTGGCGTCAGCTGCGTGTGCATGGCGTCAACGTAGGTGGCCTGGCAGCAGCCATCTATGTTCTGCGACGCACCGACAAGGTGCTGGGACCTTCCTAGTAACACCGACCGGAACACTACCAGTCAAGCTGGCTGGACGGTTGAGTGACTTTTCCAGAGGCAACTGAAGAGTGTGTGCAGTGTCGACAAGCCACGAAAGCGTCGTGACAATCAGTGACGTTCTCTCAGTTCCTGCTCGACCCTTCTTACAAGCACAAGAAGGGCTAACACACCGGCTGGGCGTAAGGATCTCATCAGTGTCAAGAGGACACGTCCATGTTTGTTTGTGGTGTGCAATAAAACTTGGAAAACACTCTTTTTTTCTCATTGATGTTGCTTAGGTAGATAAGTGTGACAATCAGTATTCTTGCAGCAGTCTTTATGAGCATGTAATAACTATATCAAAAATTGTAACAAGGAAGAAGTTATTGAGAAATCATTGAAGGTGCACAGCCTAGCAGCTACAGCAGGGACGTAATCAAGAGTCACATATGTACATTTGCTTCCAACTGAAATTTATTATAAAAAAAATATTAAATTATGTACAAAGAGAAAGTGAAGCTATAGTAATCTCGAGCAGACCAGGTAGAACAAGTCGGGAAGAGATAATCATTAGGCAAGAATAAACTTAATTTGGCAAACGTTGCTATCAAGGTTACCTCAAAGTGCACCGATGCATTTCTCAATGAATGTGAACTATTTGTTGAGGAGAGCTGTAGATGGCTTGCTGACACAATAACCCACTTGGCACATCATTCGGGGCTGTCTCCAGAAAGACAAGTACATTCATAAGAGCAATGTTTCTTTCAGAGGCAGGGAAACATTTCTACTTGATTGTATGGATAGCCAATAAAACCATGAAGCATGTTCGTAAGAGGTGTTTGAAAGGCAGTGGAACAGCCATGCATGGTTTTTATATATTATGAAGTCTTGGTAGTCTGGGTTGCGACAGCGTTTAATTGAGGAAAGACCTCGCAAAACAAACCGGCAGAGCCAGTACACAGACGATGACGATGATGATGAACCAGAGTGGCAATGAGGACAAAGAGACAAGCGGATGATGGTGATTGTGATCATGCAGGGATGAGGACGATGCAAGTAACAAATGCCCACACTAATTCCCCCCACTTGGAAGCGGACACCCTGGCCGCCGTAAGTCAAAGTGACGGGGAACGTCGCGTGAAAGGTTTCATGCGACAAACGTGGACAATCTCTGTGCTGCGGTAGCGGCGGTCTGTTGGGGCGACGAGTGGTGTTACACGATAATTAACCGGCGAAGTCTGTTCTAAAACAATGTATGGCCCGATGAAGCGTGGTTGGAATTTGTCACAGAGACCAGGAGTGCGAATAGGTGTCAAAAGCAGCACCTCGTCACCAGGTTGGAAAGACACAACGCGGTGGGATTCGTCATAGGTGATCTTCCGCTCGTGCTGTCTCGCTTCAGTATTGATGCGAGCCTGATGGCGAGACTGAGCCAGGCGGGAAATGTATTCTTCGCTAGAAGACTGACACGAATCCCCATGGCTGCTAAAGAAGGAGACGTCGAGAAAGGTAGTCGGGGTGCGTCCGTACACGAGATAAAACGGTGAGTAGCAAGTTGTTCGCTGAACGGCGGTGTTGTAAGCGAATGTCAGGAATGGTAAAAGAGTATCCCAGTTTTTGTGGTCGGGTTGGACGTAAACGGCTATCATGTCTGCAAGGGTTCGGTGAAATCTTTCTGTAAGACCATTTGTCTGAGGGTGGTAGCTTGAAGCAGTCTTGTGAGTAGTTCCAGAAGCGCGGAGTACTTCATTTACCATTTGGGACAGGAACACTTTGCCGCGATCACTAAGCAGTACACGAGGAGCCCCATGACGCAGTATTATTGCGTGAAGAATAAAGTCTGCAACTTCCACAGCTGAGCCTGCAATAACAGAGGAAGTCTCAGCGTATCGTGTCAGGTGGTCCACGGCGGTCACTATCCATCGTTTGCCAGCAGATGTGACGGGGAGAGGCCCGTAAAGGTCAACACCTACAACCTCGAAAGGCATTGACGGGCACGGAAGTGGCTGTAGAGGTCCAGCAGGTGCAGACGTGGGGAGTTTACGATGCTGGCATGGGTAGCAGGAACCGACGTACCGCGCTACACTAGAAGAAAGGCCAGGCCAGTAATAACGACATCGAATGCGGTCAAGAGTTTTTTTAAAACCAAGATGACCAGCAGTCAAGTCGTCGTGGAAGGCTTCGAGCACCTGAAGTCGAAGAGAGCGTGGCAGTACAGGAACCCAGCGCTGACCGTCAGGGTGGTAGACGTGGCGGTAGAGAACCCCATTGTCCAGCTTAAAGTGCAGGAGTTGACGACGGAGTCGCGCGTTTGGTGGATGAGAAACTCCCGAAAGGTGGTCCATCATGCGTCTGCAGTATGAATCGGACCGCTGGTGGGAGATAAATGTTGCCTGTTCGTCCGAAAAGGGTTGCGTTATTGATGCGAGCGTATGAACTTTGGTAGATGTGGCGTTTGAGTTCTCACCAACGCTTATATGGGTGGTCGGAAGCGGGCAACGAGATAAAGCATCGGCGTCTCGATGTTTTCTGCCTGACTTGTAAGTTATGTCAAAGTCGTACTCCTGCAAGCGTAGTATCCACCGACCCAAGCGTCCGGACAAGTTTTTCAGTGTAGAAAGCCAGCATAAGGCATGGTGGTCCGTAACGATTGTGAAGTGACGGCCGTGGAGATAGGGACGGAACTTCTGGACCGACCAAACGACAGCCAGACACTCTTGCTCAGTTATAGTGTAGTTCTTTTCAGCAGGGGTGAGTACGCGACTGGCATATGCAACAACTTTCTCTAGGGAAGACTTGTCGCGTTGTAGAAGAACGGCTCCTATACCAAGGCCGCTAGCGTCGGTGTGAAGGATAGTCGGTGCGGCTTCGTCAAAGTGGCAGAGCAGAGGTTCAGACGTGAGTGACCGCTTCAACAGCTCGAATGCCGTTTCACATTCTTGAGACCACAGAAAGGGGACGTTCGAAACGAGTAGTTGGTGTAATGGAGCAGCAATAGAAGCGAAGTTCTGTATAAACCGGCGAAAATAGGAGGCGAGGCCAAGGAAACTGCGAAGCTCCTTTGGTTTTTCGGGACGCGGAAAGTGAAGGACTGCAGAAATCTTGTCAGGGTCGGGCCGGATGCCATCTTTGCTAACGACATGTCCTAAGACCTTGATAGATTTGCTAGCGAAAGAGCATTTCTTAGTGTTTATTTGAAGCCCGGCGCCGGCAAGGCACGTCAGAACTTGATGCAGTCGTTCTAGGTGCTCAGGAAACGTTGACGAAAAGATAATAATGTCGTCCAGGTAGCACAAGCAACTTTTCCATTTCAGACCGCGCAGCACGGTATCTATCATGCGCTCAAAAGTCGCGGGTGCGTTGCAGAGCCCGAAAGGCATCACGTTGAATTCATATAGCCCGTCGGGGGTTGCAAACGCCGTTTTATGCTTATCGTCTTCATGCATGGGAATCTGCCAGTACCCAGAACGCAAGTCGATGCTTGAAAAGAATTCCGCGCCTTGTAGGGAATCAAGGGCGTCGTCAATGTGTGGCATAGGGTACACGTCCTTGCGTGTGATCTTATTGAGCGCCCGGTAGTCCACGCAAAAACGCACAGAGCCATCCTTTTTGCGGACCAAAACAATGGGAGACGACCAAGGGCTAGATGAAGGACGGATGACTTCCCGTTTAAGCATGTCCGCAACGTTTTCTTCTATAATTTTTCTTTCAGTTAGAGACACGCGGTAGGGTCGGCGGTGTACGATAGATGTCCCAACAGTTTGAATTCGATGTGCTGTAGTATTAGTGCGGCCCAGCTTAGACGAGCAAATGTCGAATGAATTTGCATGTTTCTGTAACATTGCGAGCAGCTGCTGCCTCTGTGAATATGTCAGTTCGCTGCTGATAGCTGTGGTAAAGGCGGAGGAAGAAACATGCTCACCGAGGCAAGGTTCTTTGGATGTGATGGCCTGAAGTGGCGTGGCAAATACAGGCTCGAAGTCAGCAACATGGGCCACAGTAGTGCCCTGTGGCAGTAAGATCTTCTCCGGTGTAGAGTTGACAGCGGTGACAAGTGCCGAGCCATTGCAAAAACGAACGACACCGGACGGAAGAACTATACCTTTGCGAACGCAAAGTGGTGACGGTGAGACCAATACATCCCCGTGATAGATGTCATTGGACGTAATGCTGACAATTTGCTCTTGTAGTGGCGGCAGTTCGATGTCTTTCGCAGCGACCAGACGAAGTGGCTTCTGATTGTCGTCGTCAAGCATGTAGTCCGTGTCAGCAAGGTGAACGACGCGTTGTCCACAACAAATCGCCGCGGAAGCAGATGATAGAAAATCCCACCCTAAAATTAGTTGGTGAGAGCAGCGGGACAGGACAGCAAACTGGACATGATGGCGGATGCCGTCGATGAAAACACGCACAGTACAAAACGCGGAAGGGCGAATGACGTTCCCCTGGGCAGCAACTAATGTGGGGCCATCGTAAGGCGTCATTACTTTCCTTAAATGTTCACACAAATCAGCACGTATCACAGACAATGTCGCACCTGTGTCCACCAAAGCATCGACTCGCACTCCTTCCACTTCCACAGAAACCATGTTACACGGGCCCGATGGAGGAATTTCAGTTCTGATTCCGAATGCAGTTTTTCCTCCACAAACTGCATCACTTAGTTTTCCGAATGAATTTCAGAGGTGAATGAGGTGGGCCGAAGTGGAGAAGTGGAACGGCGGAAGGGCGAAGGCGAGCGGCGTCTCGTGTTTCGGCTGTTTCGTGGTGCAGTCGATGCAGGAGGTGATGGAGAACGGTGCGGGGGAGACGAATAACGCCGACCTTGATAAGACGCCCCGGCGTACAAATCCCGTTCACGCACGTCGTTCCGACGCTCATCTTGCTGGCGCTTTCGGCAGAAACGAGATATGTGGCCGCGATAGCCACAGTAGTAGCAAACAGGGCGAGACGAGCGCCACGGTGGGGAATAGAAGACATTCGGGGCACCTGTAGATAGCGCGGTCAGGTGGGCCGGAGGGTCAGGGGGTACGGAATGGTAGTTGACCGGGGGAGCGGCAGCAACTGACGCGTAGGATGGACGCGGCAATGTCGTGTGGGCGTCGCTGGGAGGCACGGCAGCAACTTCAGGGTACGTGGTTATGGGGCGTGAAGCATGTGGCTGTACAGGCGCAACGCCGGTCAGCGTTGTAAGTTCCTCCCTGATGATGTCACGTAAGGGCATTCCCGAAGGCTGTGTAGGTCGTGGTGTAGGAGGTGTGAAGCCCATGGACC